TGACACATGGGCTGCCATCTCTTCTTTGCTGATAGCTCCCACTTCGTAACTCTTGACAACGGTAGACAGAAAGTCATTGCGGTTTGACTTTTTGGATAGACGTCTGTAGTTCCAGGGTCAACAATCAACCATGAGCTACATGCACCCAAGCGTGAGGTTAGTATTTTACGTACTCTTCGACCTTTTTCCGGCTATACTGGGAGTTCTGATTTTGGACAGCAAGAGTTGACGGGAGTAGCACGCGGGCTGCTGTAGCCACAAAAGGGAGACGACGAAGGTTGTCAACCAGTGTGATGAAGTATAGATGGCTGACTATGATCTCCGACCAGCTGTGTGGCTTTCCTATAATGCGAAGTGATTAATATTGCGATGTTCTGCTTGGCCATCTCCGAGCTAAAGCTTTAGGCTTGAAACTCTCAACTTCTATTTACTTACCAGCTTTGACACTATGAAAGGATTCGCCAAACGCCATTTCGCCCAAGGAGTCAAAGGCTATCATCTCATACCACTTGGTCATGTTGAGACCCTCAGTTCGGAAACGATCTTCCCCAAGCCGATGTACGAAAGCGTCGACTGTCTTGGTAATAATATCTTCCTGGTCCAGCAACATCTTTGTGGAAAAGGCAGCAGAGAGCATTCTGCGCATTTGGCCGTGCTTATGAGGATCACGCTCACTACCGATGCATAATGATTTGAAGCCTGCGCCATAGATATCGTAAAACTCGCTTTTGGTCACTGGTGCTGCGCCTGCAGCGCGGTGGCCGTAGATTGCCTTCCACGACTCCACTGAAGCAAAGGAGAGCTCATTGGGAGAAATTCGGACAACGGGCCCTATCAACGTTCAATTTATTAAGTATTTTTCATGGCTTGGGGGGAGGAAAGCCCTACCATGTTTGCGATGCTGCTCTTGGATGGCGTAGTGAAAGCGGCCAGTCTGAGAGTGAAAGATTCGCCAGATCTAGGGCGAGAAACTTGAGCATTGCAAGTCCAACTAGATCCAGCTAAGGCGTACTCACCAGACTGCATCTTCCTAATAGCGGTCCTGGGAACGCGGCAAGTTTATGGAAATACGCATTATAAGTGCTGGCTGTCAAAAGGTACAAGACGACCTAGGTACGTTAGTCTTGAGTTTCAGTGAAGCTTTGTGTCATTCAGAGTAGTTCTTACAAGACACAATAATAGAGCGGCAGTGCTTGAGACGGTTAGCTGTGCAGCTCTTGCTTGAAGAAGGTGCAAGCACTCTTTGTGGGAAATGGCTCGATCAAGCATCGCGTCCTTTGGAACATCAACTGATGCTCTTCAGCATTTACCACTATGCTCGATGTGTTTGCCAGCAATCTAGCCTGTGAAATGTCGCTCTAAATATCACAAGCTTTGTTATTCCGTTTTCTGGTGACCTAGCAAAGTTCTGCGTTGTATCCCTGACGGATCCGAAAGACATATTGGGTGCGCAGCGTAGGTCTTCGTCTCGTCGGCCAGTTTCCGTTTTCGGAAGTGAGGTTTCCAATCCTCACCGCGCTAAACCTTTCTCAGTAAATCCCGAGAAATGCACGGAACAGCAACGCTCCTTGCACCAATTACAAATAAAGCACCGAGAATGGCCATTAATATACAAGAGATCAACATCCAACAATTCTTGATAGCGGCAAAAGTCAGCCAGTTTCGACTGAGTGCGGCTGACTTTGAGTCTCATCAGCGCGACAGTTATGCCGTCAGGTGCTATCGAGAGGGGAATTGTCATGATGTGGCATAGTCAAAAGGACCAGTTTTCACTCTTCGAGACAGAATTGTCAGTCCTCAAAATCTGTCTGATCAAGTTAAACTTTGTAATAATGCGAGGTGTGCCTGAATCAATGGTCATCAGTATGGCATCGCAGAATGGTTCCAGTACTGGACCACAAGTGTGGCCTTTCAAAATCCAACGATGCCGCCAACTCTTCGCATTTCGAGGCATTCTTTCACAAAAATAGGTTTATTTTCATCCTTATATTATGGAAAGACCGGCCAAACTTAACTCGTAGGCAAGAAATACACAGCAGTGGCGGAAACCCGTACGAATGAACCGCGCCTCAACACGAGCCTCGTACGCCTCAACACCTCAGCCATGTGGGCGGCCCGTAAACCATTCTATGTTTGGCAGTAAGCTCGTGGTTCACGTCAAGAAGGGCAAAAATCCCATCTTTTCCATCTCAACAGTGTCCCTCGGCTATGTCATTTGGATGCGGCAATGTACCCGGGGGGAATCACTTGATTGGGGGAGCTGTGCATGAACCCGACTTGACGACTTCAAATAAGTTCTCCGAGGGAAGACCATCACGAACGCCACCTCTGTCGCAAGACATCCGCATTGTAGGTAGCTTACCATCTGGCGGGTTCACTGCTACGGACCGTTGTTGAGATGGATTGGCATTCTACCGATCGGCTTCTAGCGAAACCAAAGGTTATATAGATCCCCCTTGAAGTCTGGTTGAAGCTTGGCATGTTGCCACTTTCTACCAGCAACTCTTTGATTCCAGTCACATCCAACAGAAAACAGTCTGACATATAGCAAGTCGATCACTCATCATGTCACTCAGCGTAACAACCGTACCCGACGAAGTCACCAGCATCTCTCCCATCTCTCACCTCGACAGCAAGGCCCCAGGTATTACCCAGAAAGCCATCCAAGAAATATCTACCTCCAACGATGGGTACTTCCGCTTCAACCCAGTCATCGTCATGCTCATCAGCTACCTCGAACAAGTCAGCCCAGGAGGCCTAGACTCCGCAGTCCGCTCCGCCCGCGATAAGAATCCAGACTTCATGTCCAAACTAGCCATCAAAGACGCACACTCGTTCCTGACCTTCGCAAACGACCTCCTGAAATGGGTGCCCCGCGAGAGCTTCGAAGGCAAAGACATCTACGACATCCTCTGCACATTCTACTTCGTGCTAGATCAACCCTCTCTCCGTAAACTCCAAACTCCAATCCGCCCAGACTCGCAAGGCCTTACCTGGCTATCCTCCTGGATCGTAGTCTACGCGCAACTCGTCGGCCAATTCCTCGACACACCCGCCTCCATCACCCCTTCCTCCCTCCAATCCTTCGCAACCTCACCCCCTTACCGCTTCCATGAAGCAGAAATCCCAAAAGGCGGTTTCCGGACCTTCAACTCCTTCTTCACCCGCCGCCTCAAACCGGGCCTTCGACCAATCGCCTCCCCCGACGACGACAGCGTGATAGTCTACCCAGCAGACTGCACCTATGACAACTCCCTCGCCAACCAAAGCGTCACCAAAATCACCCCGTACGGCTCCGTCGAGATCAAAAACGTCCGCTGGCCGATCAGCATGCTGCTCCAGGGCAGCGCTCACGCCGCAGACTTTGACGGCGGGATCTGGATGCATGCGTTCCTGAATACCACAAACTACCACCGCCAACACGCGCCCGTGTCGGGCAGAGTGCTCGAGGCGAAGAATATCCAGGGCATGGCGCATCTCGAGGCCGATACCGTCGGCGACGGACAGGTGCGTATGATGGGCGGGGCGGACGCTTCCGAAAACCCAGGGTATCAGTTCCTCCAGACAAGGGGGTTGGTGGTGATTGAGAACCCGGTCCTCGGCAAGGTTGCGTTCTTGCCCATCGGGATGGCCATGGTATCGTCTGTGGACTTGTTTGTCGCAGAGGGGGATGTGGTGAGGAAGGGGGACGAGGTTTCGTGTTTCCGGTTTGGAGGGTCGGATGTCATTTGCATCTTCCAGGAAAAGGCCGGGTTGAGGGTTGAGGATTTCATTCCAACGGCTGGTGGGGTTTCAAAGTATGGGAGCATCTTGGCTAGAGCGCCGATGGGAGGTTCTCGCATGTAAGTCAGGCTTTCAGAGAAGTCGTCCAACGTCTAGACATGTTCTTGGATCGTTTCCTTTGAGATCTTGCTCTAGGCTGGCACCTAAAGAAGATGTAATCAAAGCTGCTGAACTTCGCGATATTTGGGACTAGGAGTTTTTCTTTCGAACAAATTACAGCCATGGAATTGAAGACAAAACAAAGACAACATGATCAAAAAGAGAAGTTGCGTCAATCGCTGACGGGAATTGAGCCCGACGTGGCTAGTGCTTGTTAGTGACATGTTCTAGAGAACATGAGAGAAATAGGGAAAGTAGCATACGGGTCGAACCCACAACCTTGAGATTAAGAGTCTCACGCTCTACCGATTGAGCTAGCCGGGCAACCGGCGTATATATTAGGGTTGGATGGGTTCCTCAGGCCCAGGATGGCTTCATGTTCTGGATTTGCTAATTTGTGGTTCTGTGTCCAAGTGGGGAGAAGAGAAAAGATTTTGGGAAATCCCCATTGTGGGTGTAGGGTGGGACACAATAACAAAGCGCGCATCGTGATGTATGTGGGGAGTGGATGTCTTGAAGGTTGGGTTGTGTTCAACATTAGCTTAGATTTGGCGTACTTTGAGTAAGTGAGTGGCTCACTCGCAAGTTGCATGGATCACAGAGCCATTTCTAGTAGTCGAGGCTCATCTCTCTCTTTTTCATCAGTCGGCAATGTTGTCATGTCGTTCACAAACGGCACAGTCATGTTAATCAACAACCACAAGACCACGAACGAGGGCATACTGAAAGAACGCAGATAGTCTCTATTAGCCGCTACGCAGGCACACAAAGCCATGCGGAGGATGCTCGCTTGGAAGGGAATCGCCCTCCATGCGCTAGCTATCCGGGCAACCCCAAAGAAGGGGTTCGATTACTGAGTTTTGAGAAAAAAAAGAAGAGTCCCATCCTTCACCGACTCAAATGTCCCCTTCAAACAATCATGACCAAGGCCAACTCAGGGCTCGGGTTGGCTTACTGGCCTTCCTATTCTAATTCTAGCGAGAAGTGCCTCTGGTGGCCCTGTTGATGCATCCATTCTGCATCGCGCGGAACATGACACGACGGTGAAGTGCATCGGTCGAGGATGCAGAGCTCTCAGACGAGGCAACGGGCCTGGGACTCTCGCTAGACAGACCACTCTAGTGTCCTCTAGCCAAGAACGCAGGTGCGCCGCTGCCGATGATGGGGCTTCCGATCTCGCCTGGTGCACCTACGGGCCTATGGGCAGGATACGCCATGTCGTTGAACTCAGGTACCCATCGCATCAAGTGCTGCCCTGGGCCGTTTGCATCCAACTGGACCTCAAAGGTGCCGCCACCATTCTGCAGGTTGCCTTCTGTTTCGGCGAGAGCCAACAGATCAACTTCAGGGACAGACTCAGTCCTATTGAGCTGGTCAACCTCTGCCTTGACCGCTGCTAGATCAACAAAAGACTCTGAGCTCTTCGGGTTGCGGGCTTGCAGCTCCTTGCAGGCTCGACACATCATGAGCCGAATCGTCACCGAACGAGGGTTTCCCGCCGTACGGATCGGAGGCATAGGCTGCATCATAGTAGGGCTTCCCCAGGTCGAGTTTCCCACTCCGGGGGCCACGGTGTATGACATTGGTGAGGGTCCCCACAAGCTATTGTTGATGCTAGAAAACCCATTGTCGAATGGCAGTGGAAACGCTGACCGTTGCAACTGGCTACGGTGCCTTGCCGCATTGATTGCTGCGTTCATCGGGTCCGATGCATCATCTACCAGGACGCTGCTGCCAAGATGCTGTTGGTTTGTGAAGTCGTCTGATGCATCATTTCGGTGTCCCTGAACCACACTACCTGGTCGTCCAATGGGCGCTGGCCTGCCGATAGGCTGTGTTGGAATTGGCGATGTAGCTGGGTCGAAGCTGCCGGAATGTTGTCTCGAATGTGATCCGGGTCCTGGCGCCATGTTTTGCATATGGTCGCCCATGGGCTGTGGGAAGCCAGGAGGTGGGCCGGGCATGAAGCCACGTCCAGCTGGCCCGTTAAGACCTGGCGGAACGGCCATCATGCCTAGAGGGGGAGGAGGTCTGCCAAACCCGGTAATACCAGGCGGACCAAAGATGTTTGGGTCTGGCAGACGATTTCCCAGACCTGGCGGCGGGTTGAAGCCGGGTGGAGGCATGCTCATAGGCATGCCGAAGGGGCCAGGCTGCATCGGGCCTTTCATACTCGAAGGTGATATGGAATTGGGATGGGGTAGCGAGCTTGTGGTCGCCACGCTAGTCTTCCATGAACCAATCGGCCCAGGACTCATGCGGCCGGGTGTCGCAGGGTGTGGCGATGGGTTTTGGCTGGCAGTAGAGCCTGATCGCGAAGCTTGGGATTCAGGCAAGCTGGTGTCCAGTGGCTGAGAGGCATGCTTAGGACGGATTGGTGTCGGAGCTTTGGGAAGAGCCGGTGTTGCAACGGGTATCTTGGGGGACGCATAGGATGCTGGGTTGGATGGATGTGTCGGAATCGGTACTGGGTGTTGCGATAGTCGCCGGCCTGAGGTGGGGATGGGAATAGGAGCAGCAGCAACCGTGGCAGCCTTTGGGGCAGCCTTTTCCTCCTGCTTGATGCGATCCTTGCTTTCCTTCTCAGCCTTGGCCTTGGCCTCCTTGTCGCGTTTGGCCTGTTCCTGCTTCTCTTTGCGCTCACGGAGCTCCTTGTCCTTCTGGTCTCGGATTTCCTGTTCGCGTAATCGTGCTTCTTCCTTGAGCTTCTGAGTCTTCTCGCGGGATTCGCGCGCTTTGCGTTCTTGCTCCGCGCGCTTCTCTTGCTGTTCCTGGAGTCGGCGTTGTCGATCGGTCTCTTTGCGAAGGCGTTCTTCTTCTTCCAGTCGCTTCTGCTCTTCTTTCTTTCGACGTTTCTCCTCCGCTCTCATTCTCTGCTCTTCCACCTTTCGCCGCTGCTCCTCGAGTCGAGCGGCCTCCTCTGCAGCCTTCTCGGCCTCCTTCCGCGCCTTCTCCTCGGCCTGTTGCTGTTTCTTCAGCGCGGCCTTGTCCTTGCGCTTCTGGTTCTCTTTGGCCTTCTTGGCTTTCTTCTGAGCGGTTTGCCTATTTTCCTCCTCGAGTTCCTCGATGAGCTGTTGCTGGCGTTGCTTGGCGACCATGTCTCGATAGGCTGTCAGGACCCGTTGCTCAAACATTCGAGCGGCGAATATTTGGAACATGCGACGACCCTCTTCCATGCGCTGTTCCTCGGTCATCGTGTCCTGATGATGACAACAGTAATGCTCAGTACTCGAGTGTTTATGGTCATATGTGTATTGAGAGGAGCTCACTTCTTCATCCTCGTATTCCTCTTCTTGACTGTCATCATAGTCCTCATCCTCCTCCTCATCTTCGTCGTCATAGTCGTCTTCGGGAGGAGGATGGTTATGATTCGAGTAAGAGCCGTTGGCGGGATGAGCGTAGCCGCGAGAGAAGTGCTCCTTGGCGTCCTCTTCTCGGGCCATGCGGCGTTCGGCGAGCTGCTCCATCATTTCGATGAAACGCTTGCCGTCGTTTTTGAGGAGGTCATCCGCAACGGTGAGTATGCCGCCTAAGTCCATGTTACCATATCTGCAGAGTAGGGAGTCCAGAAGCTGCATACCCTTGACTTGCAGGCTGTTCCCAAACGTCAAGAAGTCGGCAACGTCTCGATCGTGAGGGTGAGTATCTTCGGGGGGTTCATCTTCGTCGCTGTACTCGTCGTCTTCTTCGTCTTCCTCTTCTTCCTCCTCCTCCTCGAGATCCTCCTCCTCGTCGCTGTACTCCTCCTCTGGCTCCTCCTCGTCGTCATCGTCGCCTACATGTTCCACTATACGGCCGCGTGACGGTGGTTGGCCTGTGTAGGATGACGGAATGCGTGAAGGTCGCAAGGGGAATTCGCGGTGAGGGGGCAGAATATGCGGTCCTTCTCCGTTGTTCGCAAAGGTCTCGAGCTCCTCATAGTAAGCGTCGTACAGGCCTTCGAGTTCCTCCTCAATGGCGGTGCGCTTCCTGCCACAAACAGTACAGCTGCATGTATGCTTTTGCTGCTCCTTCATCTTTTTCAGGACGGCGTCCTTTTCGACCTTGACTAGCGACTTGCGCTCGTCTTCGCCGAGACCCAACCAGAACTCCTTGATGCGCTCCCGCTCCTCCTGCGAGCTGGTGTTCCAGATCTTATCCTTGGAGATACCAGGGCCACGGGGCGTCAATGGCGAGTGGGAGTGAGAATGAGGAAACGGAACACTGTCGTACTGGCTGTTGGCCAGCTGCGGGTTCTTTCCGTTCTTCTTCTTCTTCTTTTTGGACTTTTTGGATTTGGTCGCGGAGAAGCCGTTGGCATGGGGCCGGTCGTCGGTAGAGTGATGGTCTTCGGGCTCGTCATCGCTGGACTCCTGATCCTCGTCATCTTGGGCAACCTGGGGTTTGGGCGCGGGCGCACCAGGAGCAGGACTCGGGCGACGTCCGTTTGGTGGTTGGACAGCGGCTTGCTCGGCAGCAGCTTTGGCGGCAGCCTTTGCCCGACGCTTCTGCTTCTTTCGATTCACAGTAGGCGCTGAGGGGTCAGCACCGTTGGTATCGAGGGTCTGGACGCTGGGCGCCTTTGCCGACGAGGTCGGAGTAGAGGGTTGCGAGGGTTCGGCGGAGGGGGGGCCTTTCGGGACGGTGATGATCTTGGAGCCATCCTTGTTTGTGTATCTCGCGGTGGACTTTGTATTCGGTGACGCTGGCGTCTGAGCTGCCGGCTGGCGATGGTTGGCCGGCATTTCTAGTCTCTGCTACGAAGCGAGCGACGTCGATGTCATAGAGAGGGATAGATGAAGGGTAGTTTGCGGTTGTGAGTGCGGTGGGGGAGTAAGCGCTGGATTCGGGTTCGGCGAGAGGGATAGAGAGAGAGGTGAAGTCGAGCTCGAATTCGGCGGTCGGTCGGGTTCGAGAATGAGGCGATACTGGGTGAGGTAAAGCTATGTGGAAAGATGCGTAAGCAGAAATAAAACCACAGCTGCCCCTCTTCGCAATGACGCTCGAGGTGTTCGGAGAGATTGTGTGTGATTGAAGTTGGGTGGGCGTTTGTGGGTAGCGGCTCGCGAAAGTGGCAGGCGGGATGTAGCGCGCTGGGCGGGCTTTGGGCGGGCTGAGGGTGGTGGTGATGAGGCAGGACTCACAGGTGGAGGCGAATATTATTCGAGATGGGGCGCCGGGGCAGCCACACTTGTGTCTTGCCAAGGGGACAAACAGTCCGCCGTGAAGGTGCAGCACGAAAGGCCAAAACGGTAAAGGGTATGATTTTTGTTGGTTTTTTCGGCCTTGTTTCCTCTATCGATATTCTTCCTCTTTTTTTGCCCCTGAAACCACCACCTTGCAGGTTGATGATAGTTCAACTTGAAAGGCACACGAATCGAATCGCAGTGCAGTCGCAAGGCTGGTGGTGGTGTTGGTGGTGGTGGTGGGCTTGATTGGGGCTGATGAGTGTGTGACAAGCAGAGCGCGGGCCGATGATGAGTGCCTCTGTGTGGTTCGTTGGTCGCTAAATTCCAAGGTTGAGTACCTTGGATTGGATCTTTAGGTAAGGCAAGGTGAGGTACCTTGGGAAAGAGCAGTTCGAAATGAGTTAGGTTGGGCAAAAACGACCTCAATATTTCAGCGGAAGGGAGGATGAAGAGCTGAATGGATTGAATTATCCGCTGTTCGAATTCCTTTCCTTTCCATCAATGGGAAACAGAGAACGACACCCATATGGTAGGCGACGATACCAATGTCATGAAAGTAAAAGGATGGAAGTGAGGTACCTCTGGATCTCTGATCCAACGGATGCGTGTCGTTGTTCGTTCCGCTATGGGCGGAGGGAGGGATTGAAGGGAGAGTGGGATTGCATGTCATGCCCAGGTCACTCGTCAGCAGGTTTGCGTAGGAGAAGTACATCACAGGGAGGGGGAAGTGACAGGTGGTGAGGGACCTGAGGCAGGGGCCCTACCCAATTGCCTATCACTCGGGGTGTGCACTTTACCAGGCTCACTCACATCAGGAACTTGGAAACCTGGGTCAGTAAGGTAAGGTACCTAAGGAAGGTACCTTTGGTTGGTCCCATCAATCAGATTTCAAGGCCAAAAGAGGTGAGAGGTTTGTGCCGTCGTCCACGTGACTGCTTGCCCAGCGGGTCCAATTACTTTTGCGTTTTGTGGGGACCCAACAGAGCTGGCTGCACTGAGTGGCTGACAAAGCTGCAACCTCTATGGCCTTTGCTCGTGATTGAGCTTCTTGCCTGAGGCTCTCTCTAGCTGAGTAACCACTGAACCAGGCATCAGGCTTTGGTGGATTCCCATCTTGAGATCCAAAACCCAGCTGACATGACCAGATCCCGATATTCACCCTGGGCCTGGAGCTTACCTAAGGCCCTGTGTCTGTGCCTAACGGAATGAGAACCCGGAAAGTTATTCGATTTCGAGGCCCCTAGCCAGGCACCCAGGTCCGTCCCACGATTCAAGGTCCAAACACCAAACACCAAACACCGCGATGCCTGTCACGTGCGAATCGGTTCAGGATCTGATGTCATCTCAAGACCTACAGCCTCCATATAGCAAGCTGTATGGGTAGCTTTCTCAATTAGCTCTTGTCCCACGCATCCAGAGCACCCGAGAAGCTTGGCCACCGCCATTGACCGCCAAGTGAAGCAGCTCGCCAAAGCGCGGGTCGTGCCATCAACTACATACATCATCTTAGAAGACGATCGTCCTTCTTTCAAGTCTGCCAAAAGCGAATCGTCCAAGTGTTTTCCAGCTGGGTCTGACATACAAGCAAGTACTAGCCAGCTGTCTCGCTCTCAGCAAACTTTGGCAGCTCCCTGCGGTTCCCAAACTACCCCGCTGTCAAACAAGTTAGTCATATGTTTGGCAACATTCGTTGTCACAAGCTCCGTGGCAACAAGCTTCTGGCAGCGCAGCTGTTCCACCTATGCTCTCACAAACTCCCTCGTAAAACATCTCATACCCCCCAATTCGTCGACGCGATTGGCCTTGTTTCCCATGGACTGTTCAACTCCAGGCACGCCAAGAAGGGAGGACACGCAAACCAATTCAACTTTGGCGGATCAAGAATCAACACTGCCACTAAGAAAAGGGCGGTGGTTGGGCTCTATGACTGTCAAGTGTCAACAGACTCTCGCCCTGCCCATATAACTATTGGATATGCTTAGTTGTGCCCGGGACAGCCGGCGGTAGTTGAGGTCAGGTGCCTCGAGCGATAGCGGCGCTCGGAGGTTGAGGAAGAGAACATCCCACCCGTTCCGAACCATCCCGCATTTTCAGCCTCTAACCCCCGGAACCGCGCGGCCACCGACAGTTGCGGGGACGGCCTATGGAGATCTCAGTCCCGGCGGCTATGCCATACTTTGAGGCTACGGTTACCGGGGAGTGCTATGCTTCCTGGCCGACTCGCTCTGACTCTCTCTCTCAGCATTGGCCTCGATCATGATATCATCAAGATATATCGGGGACGATGAACGCCGGCCAAAGTGTACAGTCATGGGGCAAATGCTGGACGTTGTGGATTCCCGCTCGCCGATCAGGTTCGGCAACGTGCACGCATCAGACAGGTGTGACCGGCAGATCCTGGACGGGAGCGCATCCTAATTTTGCGGGCAGCGATGCAATGGAACACCATACTCCTGGACCTCACGCGAACAGTTAGCCAGGAACGTTCTGCCTCACAGGGAGACCCGTATAATGTATCCCGTCGCCGTGCGACTAGCAGCCTCGGAGGTCGACCAGAGTTCCTCGCAAACGTCCAGTTGTGTAGTATCATTGGCTGCAGGTGACGACTCTGAACGAGAGAGCACCAGGAACGCTCGAATGCCAACACAGCCTCAATCAGCCATGCCATGGTATCCATAAGGCGGGCCAGGCGGGGTACCCACCGCGGAAGTTGGGTCCACAATGCTGTTTGTATGAGTGTTTACGGAATACATGTTGGCTGAGAAGCGACGAAACGAGAGCGAGATGATGGGAAGGGGCATCTCTCCGCCCATTCTGTCAACAGTCTCCCGGACTCCGATGACGAAACGAGCCTGTTGACCCCGAGGTGGACACAAGCTCACCGGTACTTTGGTGTATTCTAAGAATTCTCGCCAAGCAGTGACTGCGCAGCAGCTGTGTCGGACCAGGCCATGAAGAAAGAACCCAGCTCGTTGGCGAAGCTACGTCAAATTTCAAAGATGCCAAAGTGCATACCAAGTCTTTTGCTTGGTTGAGCTTGACACCAATAACCTCGCGCCAGCAACTCTCAATACCGACGCCATTCGGATGGGCTTGCCAAGCGAGTAAGCAAAGTTCCCTGTCCTTTTACGACGCTCTCGATGTGGCGTGCCGGGCACTTGCAGATTGGCCGCGAGTTGTCTAGAAAGTCGGGTGCTATAAGACGGCACGGCTTGGCAACACAGCCTATGGCGATGAGTTGCACAGAGATACACACGTAGCACAGCGGGACGGTTGGGATGTGTGGGATGGCCGCCGCACAGCAAAGCAAGAAGCAGAAACATGGCACGCGTGTCTTTTGCTACTGGCCAAGAAGGTTCTTGTGGCTTTTTTCTTCCCAACCGGCACTCCAGGGACTACCTACCCAAGCAAATGGGCTGCAGGCTGGTAGGTGCCTTAATAAGTTCAGGGCTGGCGGATGACGGATTGGGAGCGCGGGATGGGATGGGATGGGACGGGGAATTATGGTTCGGAAAACAAGTACCCGGGGGCGGTTCAATACTAATGACTTGGGAATGAAAGAGGATGAGACATACGGCTTGCCGGCGGAATCGGTGCCGTTACGGCCATCCGATGTTTGAATGCTTGATGCTTTAACGTCCTCTTCCCTTCTCCGTCTCTTCTTGACTTCTCAAACGTGGAGGTACGTACGACATGATGTAAGTAGCTGACGATGACTTTGATGACAGATTCTCAACTCAGTTCCTAGCCAGGAGGAGTCTCGTGCCGCGTAAATGGGCAACATCAATCTACAATAGGAAATCTAGAACGCTACAAGTCAAGAACCATTCAAAGTCAGCGATCGACGTCTGAAGAAACCTTGGCAACGATTTGTGCTGTGTCCCATTGTCTTTCAAGCTACAGTCTTTGCGTCCAGGAACTTGGGATGTCCAGGACAAGGGGCGGACGATTGGGGGGGAAACAGATCGGGAGTACCTTATTTTAGAAAACTGGGCGCACGGCGGCGCAAGAAAAAAATGGAGGGGCGCCCGGAGGTCGGGTAGGTTAGCTCAGCCGTCAGCGGTAAAACGTCCGCTCAAAGGGTGTCTTTGGGGACGGAGCCCGTATCTTGGATCGTCATTGCCAAACTGATTTAGCATTTCTCTGAAAGGTAGATACATCATACGTCAAGCGGAATACTGACCATCTCTCCGAGAGAATGCGAGTATTCGTGGTCTCGGTTTCGCCTTGCTGGTCTATCATAGCAGATTAGGAACCTAGAGCAAGTCGCATAACGATCTTGGAATACGTGTACCGTAGTTACGACATGGCCCTTCCATGGCCAAGGCCAATCGAGGCCAATTCAGTGTTGATGGAGAGCTCAGGGTAAGGTAGTATCCGTAGTACCTTACGACCTTGGACTAGACAGAGTTCCGCCTGTCTGTCATCGCTCCGCATAATGGCGTGGGATCACAGACTGGTTCGTGCGAGAGAGCAAGAAAGAGAGAGAGTCATTGATGATGACGGTTGAACCATCACCCAGAGGTTTGGACCTGTTGCCTTCTTCCCTCTCCCCA